TTCCCTGTGAAAGGTTGKCGGCGCTGGGAGCCATTTTGGCCATGATGACATTTCTGTCATGCTGGCTAACCCCTGGAAATGAGATTCTTCAGAGGGGGGGTCCGAGGCTCRTCTTAGTCGGAGGAATAATTAAAAGAAGGAACACAGGCGTCAATCAGGAAGCTCTTTTAGATTGTGCTCATTAGGATCTGGCCCTGCCTCCGTGGAGGTGTAGCTGGGAGCTTGCCGCCGGCGTCTCGGTTCTGGTTCTGTTGTGTTTGTGCTGGACAGAAGCGAGCGAGGGGCGAGGCTCCTCTCCTGCTAATGAATTGAGACTGCTGAAGTAAGGTTTAGATAATTGAGTTTCTAATTAATTACCCAGAACTCTTATCAGATAAATCAGCTCCTCTTAAGCCCTCCTTCTTCTTMGCTGGGGTTTTATTTGATCCGGTCCTGCTCCCCTGGGCTTGCCCTTCGTTGTCCTCGCCTCATCAGCGCCGACCTTGTCGTGGAGACGATGCTTGTTTTCATGATGTTTATGTGAAAGGAAAAAACACCTGAAAGTGTGTCTTTCATCATTGCACCATCAGGTCAGGAGGACCTGGTCATGAGGATCGATCAGAAGGATCGGGTTGGTTGGAAGGATCAGGTCAAAAGGACCAGATCAGAAGGATCAGGTCATGAGGATCGGGTTGGGAGGATCAGGTCAGAATTCAGATCAGATCAGGAGGACCAGGTCATGAAGATCGGTCAGAAGGATSGGGTTAGATCAGGTCAAAAAGATCAGATCAGGAGGATTGGTCATGAGGATTGGGTTGGGAGGATCAGGTCCGAAGGATCAGATCAGGTCAGGGGGATCAGGTCAGGAGGACCAGGACATGAGGATCGGTCAGAAGGATTGGGTCAGGAGGATCAGGTCAAAAAGATCAGATCAGGAGGATCAGTTTAGGAGGATCAGTTCAGAAAGATCGGGTCATGAGGATCAGATCAAGATTGGGTTGATGGGATCAGGTCATGAGGATCAGACCAGAAGGATTAGGTTGATGGGATCAGATCAGGAGGATCGAATTATAAGGATCAGATCATAAGGATCTGGTTGGGAGTATCAGGCCGGGTGTATCGGGTCAGGAGGATCAGATCAGAAGGATATGGTTGATAGAATCAGGTCAGAAGGATCAGGTTAGGAGGATCATGTTAGGAAGATCAGTTCTAGAGGATTTGGTCATGAGGGTCACTTGGTCCAGTGTATTGGGTTGGGAGGATTGTGTATCGAGGATCAGGTCAGAATGATCTGATCAGAAGGATCAGATCAGTTCTGGAGGATCAGATCAGGAGGGCCATGTCAGAAGGATCAGGTTCTGGTTCAGTCTGGTTAATGACAGCTGCTGCTTCTCACACGGTTCATCCATGTTCAGCTTCTCTTTAGAGGAAAACTTTAGTCTGACGGATTTGATACCAGCTGATAACTGTTCATTCTGCAGCAGCTCACTGTATCTGTGTCAGCTTTTTAAGTATGAGTACTTTTTATTTAGATTTAAGTGTAGAAGTTCTTCTAAGTTTCAACAAATAACATCTATATTAATAACTGTAAAACTCATTCTCTGATTCAGATAAAACTGATTCCAAAACATTTTGTTAAAAGCTTAATAAAATTAATAAAACATAGTATTTCAAAATAAATAAATAAAAGAGTTTTTTGTTTGTTTTTATAAATGAAATTTTGATCCAAACTTGCCTGTTTGTTAAAAGTAAAAGAGAGCCATTGATGTAAACTCTTTGGTTTATTGATCYGTTCCTCGGTCATCTCTGTTTGAGAGTAAATAAATTTCCTCTGAATGGACAGAACATCGTCCACCTTGTCCCCCTCCTTCCTTTGTCCCTTCTTTTTGTGCAATTGGAGGACCGGCCGAGTGCAATCAGCTCCTCACACTCCTGTTCTGTCTGAGACGATGATGGATGACCCTCGATCGGCGCTCAGACCGGATCAGATGGCCAGGCAGGAGGGATCCCTCCATCTTTGGGTGGGGGGTGGGAGTGGGGGGTTGACACCTTCAATTCAACGTCCTGATCCGAGGAGACGTCGATGAACAAAAAGAGCTTTGAGGTCTGAGGGGTTTGTCCTGGTGTTTTCCAGAGTTATCTCCTCTGTCAGGGCTCTCAGGAGGCCCTGGAAGAGTCCATTGTCCGACAGAATGGGGGATGGGGGTTGAGTGATTAGAAAGATTATTGTTGGTGGGCGGCCTCTCAGAGAAAGTTCCTTTATCAGTTCTGTGGATCCGGACAATGAAAGCAGGACTTTAACGAGATTAAAGTTTGCTTTCTTTGTGGAAGGGGTGCTGAACGTGTGACGGCTCCGGACTCAGAAGGCCTTGGGTTCTGGACTTTACTCAGAAGGCCTCGGGTTCTGGACTCTTCTGATGAGTCGCCTAACGAATGACTTCATATCCCTGCTCCCCCCCGAGCCAGCGACCTTTGCTGAAGCAGCCTCCTATAATCCCTCACRTAGTTAAAGAGTCTGGAGGTTTTTAGGGATCCGTCTCCGTTCAATCCGTCTGAAGACAACTTGAACCCACAGACGTCTCCAGCGCCTTCGGAAGGTTTCATACGCCAAACGAATGACTTCATCTCTCTGCTCCCCCCGAGCCAGCGACCTTTTCCTGAGCTCCACTTCCCAATACTTCACCGAAACGCCGAGTATATCTGAGGACATATTTGTCTTACGTCTGTTCTCCTGTGGGGAGACCTTGTAGGCTGTCATGGCCCCCCCACCTCTGAAGGTAAAATAAGTGTGTCACAAAGCCTGCAGAGGTGAGTAATGACAGATAAAAGCCATCAGGATGGTTTCAATTAGCCTTCCTCTGACGTAAACTGATAGCTTGTCATCGTCTGGATGGATGGAGGGAATTAATCTGCTGAAAAGGAAGAAAATTAGAAGAACTGTTAGTTTAGTTCAGTCCCTTCCTTTGGATCTTGATGCAGGAATCTTATATTTACAGAGAACTGACTTCTATTAATGTCTCCAACCAGTTTATGTTTGGTTTAATAAATGAAAGTGAAAAAAAAACGTTTATTCATTTTTTTCTTCTTCAGATTATGACTTGGAAACACCATAAAGTTTTAACTCTAGATTATCGTTTTTTATTACTGTGAATATAAAATATATTTCTCTTTCAAATCAAAACTCTCACATTCAGCTTTGCTTTATTTGAATTAAATTTTTCCAACCAACAAACAGTCAGAACCTCCGAGTCTTTATTTCGTCTAATTTCCTGAAATTCAAAGATTTTAATTTAAATGTACATGTTCGCGTTTCTCTGATGATGATTGTTGAGTAATTTTATTATTAAATATTTCATCAAACTCACCTCACACCTGTCAGAATAGTTAGGTTTTCATATCGATGGGTTGAGTTGGAGTTGCTTCCTAATCCTAATCCTAACTCAGCGCTCACAAACAGTCCCGCTGACAACTTCAGCTCAGCAGGAAGCTCGTTGGGTTAGATTACAGAGGAGAATTCATGTCCAGACTCAAAGAACCTCAGGCAGCAGCTGGATCTGAGAAAATAAAAGCCTGTGACCTTAAACCAGGCTCTTATTTTGGCAGGGATCAGCCGGTGGATGAAGACATTTCAGCTCATCATCTCGTGTTTTTTGCCGCCGCCTGCCTTCCGTCTCTCGTTGTCACTCTGACGTATTTCTTYGTGGCGTTCTGTCGCTGCCAATTACTCTAACTGTGCCGTCAGCGGCAGCAGGGGTCACCCCGGGCCTGCCGCTCTGTCCCAACACCACCCACCGCCTTAATGAAAGCTGAGCGTATGGGGCGGCGAGGAGCAGGCTCCTGTCCATCAGCCCTCCTCCCCCCTCTCCCCCTCACGGCTGGACTCTATTAATACCCAGTGTCGGAGTGTTAATGTGGTAGAGGTCCGGTGAAGTGACACGCGTGGCAACGCGGCTGTAATTGCTAATCAGCGGACAGTTTTATCCCCCGCCGCCGCCTCCTATTTGACCTTCCTGCTCCGCTCCTCGTACCTAACGAGTGCTGCTCAGATGAAGAGTAGGCGGCGGCGCTGGGCCTAAATGCTCATTCGGCCGCGCCTGATGTGCGTAGGAGACAGAAGTGAAGATTCACACAATTAAATAAGTGCTGATTTCTGCCGTTTAGCTCCTTTCAGCTCTGCTGCAACTTTCTGACCATAAAATGTTGTTTTCATTGGAGGCGAGATGCAGTTTCTTCCGTCCTCCAGCTGTGCCCTCGTTATCTTCCCTCCACAGACTGCGGTGGTCATTTAGTTACAGATACCAGAGTCCAGATCTTGGATAGATGCACAATGAGAATGTTGTGAGTCAGTGTGCAGAACTTAAACAAAACTCTGATTAAAGCATTTTGTAACGTCCTGACTTTCCCCTTAATTCAGGAAAAATAACAAACATTTTGACCAAATGGTTTCACTTTTTTAACTTTGTATCAGCTGTTTAGTAAAAAGTCAAATTATAATTTAATGTCTGCATAAATCTGACTCACAGTAAGCTTTTGGTTGTGATTAAAACCCACACAGATGGAGTTTAATACGGTGACTGTTGGTTATAGGTTTTAAGGGACAACAATATGGATTTGTTGGGAACCAGAGACAAGAACTGTAATGGAATGATACTTATTGATCTGTTCTTATTTAGGTCAGGTTATAAGATATTCAACTGACTCGATGACATCAGCTTTACTATGTTTTGTTCTGTTCTTTTTGTTATTAATAGGTTAGGATGTTAAGATCTGCTAGAAGTAATCAGTCTTCTCAGTGTTTCTTTTTTTGGCCTAGACACCTGGGCTAAACTCGGACGACCATTCTACAAAGTGTGTTTTTTATTTGAATCACACATTTCTGTTCCCTGTTAAATATTTCCACCACAAGAAMCCCTGAATATGCAGCTTGAACTGAGTGTCTAAATGCTTCAGTTTGTCTCGAGTAACAAAAACCTGATTCAAAAAAAGAAAACTTCAGTTGAAATGTTTTCTGTTTCCTTCAGGGCATGCTGATGAAAAGAAGCGGTAAATCCCTCAACAAGGAGTGGAAGAAGAAGTACGTGACTTTGTGTGATAACGGCCTGCTCACCTACCACCCCAGCCTGCACGTGAGTCACACAAACGCTCGTTACAGACCAGCTCTGATTGCATTTCACCCTCCTGTTTGCTCGTAACCCAGAGAAACACAGTCTTAATGGCTTGTGTATTAATTAAGACTCGTCATCTGTTTGCCCACGTCGGTGCTGATGATGATGAGAATATCACCTCTAATGTCTCCGCTAATTGCTGCAGCTCTGTGCCTTGGCACAATCTGCAGTCCCTGTTAAAGCTTAATTACCAAACACTGACTCAGTTCAAAGTTGTATTACCAAACACTGACATAGGTTAAAGCTGTACTGTTGAAAACTGACTCAGGTTAAAACTTAATTACCAAACACTGACTCGGTTTAAAGCTTTATTACTGAACGCTGACACATTTTAAATTTTTATTACTGAACMCATACTGCTTTTAAATTTTTATTACTAAACACTGACTCAGTTTAGTTTCATTACTAAACACTGACTCATTTTAAAGTTTTAATACTGAACACTCAGTTTAAAGTTTCATTACTGAACATTGACCCAGTTTAAAGAATCAAGAATCATTATTGTCATTCATACACAACATCAAGATGCAATGCAGAACAAAATTTGCAGTTTAGAACATCTGTCCGGAGGAACACACACACGTGACAGACAGAGGGAACAAATGTCCATGGCCCTGCGCAACGTAGTGCGCTACCTTTGCAGTTTAGATACACACACATAGGGAGGATGAGTTAAGAAAAAAGAGCTTTGATCCTGTGTTTTATCCAGAAAACACACGAGCATGCGCACAAAAAACTACTCTGCGAAAGGAGCAGCTAAGGGGGGCGCAAACAAATGGAAGGGGGGAAGGGGTGCAGCGGAGCCGGTGACATCCAGGGCAGAGTGCCGGGACCAAATCAGAGACCTTCAGAGTCTATCCAGCTGTTATCAGTCGAGCCCAATTCACCAGAGTTCAGTTCACTGTTTCTGTTTCCACCCAGAGCGGCCTCCAGACCGGGTTCCAGACGGGGGGGGGGGGGGGGGGGGGGGTGTCAAGGCTTCCTCCTTACATATCATCCAGGGAGGTTTATGAGGCTGCGACCAAGGTCACATCTGTGGGATCCAATGATAGGAATAAATTCTTTAGAGCAAAGTTCTTTAGCAGACTTTTCCTCCACTGCTTTAAAGTCTTAACTGAGCCTCTGTGTTGCGAAAATGCCAACATTCCAGATTCGTTACCATCTCGCCTCTCCCGTACGAACTTCACCAGAACTCCTCCACAGCCGATCAGCAGGAATCCGATTATCATAAATCCGAATATAAAAACATCTTCCACATCCTCAATGGAAAGAGGTGCCAGGCAGATCAGATTCCACCCCCAGCTACCTGAAACTCGCCCCGCAGCCACAGTTCCACTGGGACAACTGTGCGCCCCACGCTCTAATCTCAGAGTGGATAAAATGGTGTCTATTGCTTTAAGAGACCAGTTGACCAGATCCTTAATTCTTTTGTTGTCGAATGATGGTAGAAGAAAGGCTTGATCTGGCAGTAAAGCAGGGAAAAGAGGGAGGAGGTTCAGGTGAGAGAGCAAAAAGCGTCTGACTCCTCTGAAGGCCAAGCAGGAAAAAAAATTAATTCTAAAGTTTCATTACTGAACACCGTCTCAGTTTAAAGTTTCATTACTGAACACTGACTCAGTTCAAAGTTTCATTACTGAACACTGACTCATTTTAAAGTTTTAATACTGAACACTCAGTTTCAAGTTTCATTACTGAACACTGACTCGGTTTAAAGTTTCATTACTGAAAACTGACTCAGATTAAAGTTTCATTACGTTTCATTACTGAACACTGACTTAAATTAAAGTTTCTTTACTGAACACTGACTCATTTTAAAGATTTAATACTGAACACTCACAGTTTAAAGTTTCATTACTGAACACTGACTCAGATTAAAGTTTCATTACTGAACATTGACTCAGATTAAAGTTTCATTACTGAACACAGACTCCGTTTAAAGCTTCATTACTGAACATGCACTCAGTTCAAAGGTTTTTAAGGAACACTGGCTTAGATTAAAGTTTTTCTGAACATTCACTTTGGTCAAATGTTTTATACCAAACATTGGATTTTTAGTATGAAACACTGACGTAGGTTTTAAAACAGTATTAGCAAAAATAACTCAGTTCAATGCTTTTTACAAACTAAACACTGACTAAATTTAAAGTTAAAATCTTTATTTTTGCACACTGGCTTCGATCAAAAACTAAATGCCCCACCAAATTATCAGTGAAAACCTGACTTTTTTGTCTTTTAAGAAAATCAACTAAATAAACACTAAACCAGCAGCTGTTTTTTGTTTTTGTTTTATTAATGACTTCATGTAGCAAATTACATGTTAAAACTCTATGTTTACCCTCTTGGTGACAGTATCAGTTACAGGTAACTATCAGCRTTTCTGTGTTTATAGTGTGTCTGAGCAAGGCACTCCTGCAGTGAGGGGTTGWTGGTTTGATTCCCTGTAGAGCACACTACACATGTCTGTCAGCGATTAGAGGAGCTGATGCAGTAAATTGGTGTTAAAACTCATCAGTTAGCATATCAACACGCTCTCATATACAAACACAAATGCCCTCCAGCAACAGAAAACCAGGTTTTCCTGAACGCGTTGCATCTGCAGCTCTGCTGTCAATTAGCCTGTTTGTGGAGGCTAATGGAATGAAATTTAATCAGCGCTGCTAATTACCCGACTATGTGCAAAGAAATCACATTAATGCCGCTAATTAAGTGGATGGCAGTGGATGCCACCTAATTGGCACAAAGCGTCTCATCTAAAGAGAAGAGGAAGAAGAAGAGGCCAAACAGAGCAGAGTCATTAACTGCCCCTTGTCCTGGTGAGATCCTGACAGGTCAGGATTCTTCTGGTCAGAAAACATTGCACAGGTTCATCAGACCATCCAGATGTTGTACTTTTAGATGGACAGGGAGGCTTTTTGTTATAGATTAGAAATTACTCTGTTTTTAAATTCTTCAACATTCTTCATTTTGTCTTTGAACTTAAAGAGATAATCAGTTTTGTACAACATAATTTCTTTGGTTTTGAAATGGTTTAGATCAGGTTTTAGACCTGGGTATTGGTTTGAGTTTATATTTAATCAAACATTTACCCCAGGTTTGTTTTTGCTGGTTTCCAGGGTATTTTTTTTTTCTGAAATTGGACTAATTTTTTTCTAGGTTTTGAAATGTTTTTGCCTGATATAAAAAATTACATTTTGGCCAATGTTATGCTACCATCTTAGTTGATATTTAATTGGTTTTGTTCAGTTTTTTTTACCTGTTTTTGGCTGATGATATAATTACATTTTGGCCAATGTTGAAGTGTTTTTTTTTTTTTTTTTAAATTTCACTGTGTTGTGGAATACTTATTTT